TCGGCCTGGTCGACTGGAGGTATCGGCTCCACCTGGCGACAGTCAGAAGAGTCTTGTGTAAGGATGTTAGGTAGTCTAATTACTGCAGGCTCTGCGTCGATATCAAGCTCTTGCTCCAGCGGCTGATAAGCTATTGTTGACCTGGAGTCAGCATATATTAGCAATTGGACTATGAAAGGCCGCTTTAAGTTACCTTGCAGACTTGGACGAACCCCAACGATCAGCCCATAATCTTCGCGTAATATATGGCAGCAAGTAAAACACAAAGGACGCGGTGTTGGTATAAGTTATTCTGTATCACAGTAAATGTGCAGCCGTACTACAAAAGCTGGAATTGAACTAACAGGAATGGTTTCTGGTACCCGTCGTCATACATGTCCTGTAGGATATTAATGGGTACCACTACCCAGAAATGTTTCGTGTGTGCTCACTTGCGTCAAGAAACTGGAGGCAGTCCATAATAGGACAACCGCGAGGAGGAGACCAAGGCCGACAATGTAATTCTTCGTGTTCGTATTCGTGTTCGTGTTCCTAGGAGCACCTTCTGAGGGCTCACCTCCTAAGTCGGACAAGGTGGTCATCTGAACCAATGAAACAAGACTAGCACTGGATGAGCATACTCAATCAAGGATGGTGGGTGCCCTTGTGTTGCCGTGTGAATATTGAGACGAACCGAGAGGACGGGATTATTGCTACTAGTACCACTTCGACTCTCCAATCGACCAATCCAGTGCCTGGTCTTTGATGCTTGCAGAACCAAGTAAATCCATTTTAATTGTACAGGTGGACGAGAAAAAAATGTAAGAGATACACCGCGCAGGAACGCCTAGGTTGGTAGTCCGTTGTAATGAAGGAATATGTAAAGTCATCATAGCATAAGATGGAAAACGAAAATGATGAAACCTATGTGGTAGAATCCAGGATAGAAGGGCGAACGAGTCACGTAGTGCACTAAAACGGCATTGTAGGGCGAAAGCCAGCATACGACTTGACCTTCTCAAAAATCCTGAAGAGGCTGATGACAATATTGATGCAATACGTGACAAGGCCAACCCCAACCAGACAAATCAATGCAAGTTGGTAGTCGCAGATCGTATCTCCCACTCCGCCCTCATTTCGTCCAAGGTTTGGAAGCGTTAATGCTGGCCGATCGAGTTCGTCGTACCAAGCAATGCTGCTTGCCGGCGCGCAGGGGATAAGAGATGTGAAGAAATTATCGAAGCAGAGCGAAAACGCCGCGGACCATGCACAGATGAAACAAACTTCGAGGAGGGTGTGTGCAAGTTTGGCAGATGTTCGCCATAAACCCATGGGGCGACCAAAGTATTCGAGCTATAATGGTATGAGATGGTACTGAGAAATCAAGTTTGAGATACTCGCATATATCGCAAGCATAACATGGACCAGGGTCAGAGGTGCAAATATTATCACTAAAGTTCTGGCACACAAATATGTTCATCAAGCTGTCACTTTTCAAGGCGCGAAGTGACGTACGGAGAACTTCCTACAATTCCCATGACTCCATCACGCAACTCCGTGATACGTATCCTGATGGCCACCGCAAGGGCCGCAGTTGTGAATGTGATATTGATGAATCTGAAAAGCTAGATCACAGATTTATACACACAGCATGGTAAATAAACATCACGGCACTCACCAATGGCACATATAAATTCGTAAGAATGAAGGCTCTAAAGCGCTGTTTCCTAGATCTGCTAGAGCTAGACCTGTCTCCTGACTCATGATCTCCCGTTACTCCCAGGTGAGAATAATCGCCTCGATAATTCGTAGGGAAATCGCGTGTTGGTTCCCATGGCGTGTCCCAGCCAGGTGTTTTATTACAAGGTAGAGTGAAAGGGGCGGCTGACGGGTGCGCTCCGGACTCGGGATGAAGATGCACAGCTCCCTTTTCCCTAGGAGAAACTGTCTGGGAGTGGGGCTCGTTGCACTCCTGGGGATTGGTATATAACGACAACTGTGGTCGATTTTTGTAGGCAGCGCCTATTTTGCCAGCCGCTCGACCCGATGACTCTCCGTGGGGATCTCGAGTACGGGCGAACGTCCCCCAGGGTGACTGCTCGGACCCAGTTCCATTTAATCCTCCCAATGACGAACGAGAAGCGGCGAGGTCGGATGGTCTCTGATCATAAAGAAGTTGATCATCATCTATGGGAGAAGGAGGTTCATCTTGGGCCCAAGCTGTGGCAGATTAAGGAACAAAATAAGTGACGCTGCTCGATTAGCATTCAGACGCTCATACGGGGTGCAGTGACGACGGTTCTCGTCGTTGAAGGTACTACAAGCGCATGACTTCGAACTGATGCTGCAAGACTGCTGGTTGACGGAATTGATGGTGGTTTTCGAGTGCTGGCAGCTGATAGAGACATGCGAAACGGAATAGAAAAAACCAGAAAAAAGGCAAAAGGAATGAAGGACCAAGTACCGCAGATTGAACGCTGGTCAGTGATCAAATGTACACTAGTAGAGTTCAGGCCGCCATCATCTACTCCACGGATTCTTATAAAAACAACACAAAGTCTGTTCAAATGCTGTGATGCGACGGGTAGTGCCGAGATGCCGGTCATGGCTATACCCAGCTCTATGGGGTCATCCTATTATCGGTAAGGTTAACACATGGAGGACGGTTTGCCCTCAGTGTCAGTCGGCGGTGTCGGCTCTAGATTCATATCTCAAAATGACCTAGAGGAGGCAAAAGCACGCAGAGAAGATCAGTGGAAGGCAGCATATGCCAGGTGCGCAGCGGATACTGCCTCAAATTGGAGTAAAATGACGCATGAAACTGAAATATACTAGGCTCGGACAGGTGCCTCCTCCGCAACCTGTGGAAGATTCCTTCGATGGTCGGAGTCTAGCAGAGGTGTGTGACACTCCTTTGCCTCGAGTGACCACTTGACATCAAGCTGTGATAGAAATTAGCCGCGAACAGGGTGCGTTACCTTTGAAGCTGCTCCTCATTTTTTGAACTAATCAGGTGTGTTAGGCCGCAAAACAGGAAGAATGGGAGGAGAAGACGAAGTTAGGCAAGTTCGAAATGCTATTTTTCTATGGTGATCCTGACTTGTCCAATTGTAGCAAATCAATTTCGCGCACTGGAAGAGGACGAGATCATGTTTCTAGACTCTATCAGAGAAAAGCAGGCCGAAGAAGAACGCCTCCGGAAAGCACAGGACGGCGAGGAGCTCTCAGACTTCAGAAAGTATGCTTCCACTCATGATTCATCCCTCGCTGATACTGAGAATCCGCAAAGAGCTGTTGCAGCTAGGGAAAATGACCTCAACAAGCCTTCGCAGCCAATAGCACAACCACGAAAACAGAGTGATGATACTCCGGAGAAGCCTAAAGCCGCTACTGTGCTGGCGTCCAAGAAGGATGTCAAGAAATCGTTGAAGGGTGTCGTAGTGAAGAAGAGACCAAAGTCTAACATTCAAACACCCAGCGAATCCAAGGCAAAGGCGAAGGAATCTGCTAAGAGCATCGATGACGATGCACCACCAGTCGCAAAACGTCGCAAGATTTCTGGATCATGACATCCCTCACATTCCACATTCCGGCTTTCCTGTAGCTGTCCTTGTAGATTTGTTCATTGTAATATCATCTAATCCAAGAACACGCTGTCCAGTCTTTCTCATTGGTCCTCTAAACACGATGCCACAAGCTCATACAGCCCAGTACTTACATGCTCATCTGTCATCATCGGGCCGGGTGTCATCCTCCCCGACCCGTGGGTGTCGGTGTCCACCGCACACGGTTGAGATCCCTTTCCCCAGTCTGTCCCGTTCCCCAGCCAGACATTCGGCCCATCGCCTCCGCTCTTCTCGCCGCTGCAGTACCCATCGTAGTTCTGTCCAACAATCTTTTTCCTGCAGGTGTCAGATTTCCAGGTGCGTCAGCTCTACGTGGGGTCCAACTTGGAGGGCCCATGGAACCTGACTTTGAGAAACCTCCTCGGGTCGGTGTGCGTCCAAATATTGGGGTCGGCCCCCCAAGGAGGACAGCTTTCGCGCGAAGACTTTTCGAAGCATGGGCAGATAATCTATGAGATAATGCCTCGCGGCTGGACGGCGCAGCAATATGGAAAGGTGTGCTAGGGGGTGGCACAGCTTCTGCTGGATCATCGGACTTGGACAATATTCGTGGAGTTGCATTGAGGGTCCCCCATGTCATGAGCTGATTAACGGCAGATGGGCCCAGTTCAGCAGCAGTAGGTGAAGGCAGGCTAGGTACAAGCGAAAATTCATTGATGGTAGGGGACCGCGGTCGATCTAGTGATGCTGGTTAGGTACCAAAACAGATTGGTCAACACAAAATAGAACTTACATGGCGTGCCAGTGATGGCGGCATCAATTCGACTGCGAGTGGGACTAGGTGGGGCAGATGTAGCTCGTGACTGAGAATCCCCTTCATCCTGTTCTGGTAGACGTGTATTCCCGTGCGTTATGATTCCAAAATCATCACTTGCTTTAGCTTTCGATGTACGCGGGTGGTACGGAGACATATCGGCATCAGGAGAAAACATAAGAGAATTCCGGGCCTGAAAGACAGCACTTTAGCGTTGAAATGAGAATCTCGTCTGATCCAAACACACCTTGAAGTTCCAGCCATCAACGCCAGCAGGGCGAGTATCTTTCCTAGGCGCCATAACGTCCAGAGGCGTATCTTCCTCAGATGTTTCACTGAGGATAGCAACTTCCTTTCCCTTGTTATTATCCTTCGCATCTTCACTTTCATCTTTCGATTCCTTCGACGACTCTCCGCTTTGGGTGATGAGTCCTGCAACAGTAGGGGCCTCAATCACAAACTTCTCTCTCACACCTGGTGCTTGGGCAGGCTCAATCATCATCCTCTCCCTCGCCTCAATCATCCTATCCCGCTGCTCCTCGACTCTCCTCTGTGCCTCCCATGCCCAGCCCCACCTCTCCTTGCGCTTCCGATTCTCCTCATCCATAATCTGTGTAAAGCTAGCGTTGTCTTCCGAGGTATACCGCGCCTGGAAGTTATCTAGACTCATGTCGGTATCATACCGCGGTCGTTTCGTCACTGGCTCCCCGCGTGGCGTGCGTAGCGGTGTCTCGGATGGACCAGCACCATAGGGCGTGGCGGATGGCGTCTGCCACGGTCGTCCTCGGTAGGTGGCGGGGGTGTTGTTGACTTCTTGCAATCTGCGCACGGAAGCGCTGATCAATTGGGGGTCTCTTGACGATACAGCGTCAAGATATTCGTTAGTCGCGTCGAGATGCACGAGAGAAGGGAAGAAGTCTCTCGCTATGATGCGAGACAAGGCTGCTGTGTACTCATCTTCCTCGAGCACTTGTTGACAATTTAGCGAGCGAGAAGGTTCGGATGGACCAGGCGTAGACATTTCACAGGGGAGTAGTTTGGGGTGTACTTAGATTCCAAAAGTCGAGGCTTACAAGGATTGTCATTGGTTACGTAAAATGATCATTAGGAATAATTCACACAATTCCGCAGAGAAAGAATAAAATGACAGATGGAAAAGAAAAATATGAGCACAGATCGGCTGCAGAAATAAACAAGTAATGTATCATGGTACCAGCGGAAGTGAGGACAGAATCGTGTAGTGTCGCTGGCAAATGGGTATTCGGTTGTTCGTTAATGTCATAGGAGGCATGGATCAGCAGGTTCACCCTGCAGGATAGTTCGCGAAAACGAATGGGCATGGAGTGTTGGTCCTCAAGACCTGGGATGCGTGTAGTGTAAATGATCGTCAGGGTGTGCCGCTCCAAAGTCAGCATAGCATGTCACAGTCGGAATATGAGGTAATCAGAAGAAAAAATCCAAGAAAATAACTGCATGCATGGCGGCTCAAGCGCCACCACGTCCAAAACTGAGCACGGTGCTCCCGGACCTGCTCCGAGGTTTCTTGTCAGGGTCGGGTTCTAGCAAACCGCCATTGTCTTGACCAGGAGGCTCTAATCCGCCGCTCTTCCGCCCACTGGTGATGCCCGCAGGTCGACCAATCCTGCTCTGCGACAATATCGAGGCACTGCTGGCAGAGGATGGGATTCTAGATGATGCACGGACTGTCACGTTTGAGTGCGACAACGGGAGCTGCGGTAACGACTTCAAGTTATTCTGGACTTTCCCATTGTATGAGAACGGTCGTTCACGAGGACGAAACTCTGAATCAGAGGATGGGGTAGGTGACCCAGTATCACTGGAACCTATGGAGGAACGTTTTGGTTGACCATATGGACCGCCCCCTGGCCCGGTGGACTTCTTGAAGCCAGTAACTCCTGGACGGGAGATCGGGATGGGGAGGAAAGTAGGAGTTGCGGGACGTGATGAAGGAGTAGGGATGGAACTGAATGTTGCTGTAGTGCTGAGGCTTGCTCCGGAGAGGCGTGATTGAGGACGACGACTATGGGTCATTGTGCTCTGGCCGAAGTAACTGGGCTTGGAGAAAGTAGGAGATGATGCCGACGAAGGAACTCCACGGCGAAAAGCGCTGGGGGCTGAGGGACTGGATGGGCGTCTGTGTTCCGTCTCGGCATCCTTATTCGGAGAGGGACTCTCGTCCATAATGAGAACCCATCCCGAATTATCAGGGTTAGGAGTGGTCGCACCGCTCGCCAAAGCAATATCGACGCCAAGCCGCTGTGGATTCGGTTTGGCAAGTTTGCTATCCGGGATCACGGAGCGTGTAGAGGTACTCTTAGGAGCCAAGGATATCGTGGATGTGGATGCCATTGTGGAGATTGTGGCTCCCTGCCGCCCAACATTACTGCCCATCCGTAAGCGAGGGACACGTGTGTGGATCTTCTGTTCCAGATTCTTGACACGAGCACGCATTTCGGAAACCATTTGAACACCTTTGCTTTTCGATGCCATCATAGGTATGGCAGTGATGTTGGTGGGTACGCTAGAACTGGTAGTAACAGCGTTAGGTCGTGGGACAGGGACAGGCGTCCGAGGAAAGTTGCGTGGAGCAGCAAGGGTTGGAAGGGTGCTCGAACGCGTGATTGATGAAGGTGAGGAAGCATTAGGGTTATGTTTGCTCGGTTGAAAACCTGCGCGCTGGAGTAGGACGGACTGTCCAAACCCTGAGCTGGCAGCGGTAGAAGGAGGACGAGAAGGGGTCGGAATAGAAGATTTCTCGTGGGAAGAAAGATCAGATAGTTCAAGGTCTGGCGGTGGTGGTGTGCTAAGCAGATTGTCATCTGATGAAGCCGTCGAGATAGGAGGGAATATTGACGAATCGGCGGTGGAAGTAGAAGTTTCAGTCACAATGCTCAGCGCCCTGGAGCGAGCAGCTGATAGCTGATCTTTGAGGATAGAAATTTCTACAGATGAATCTAGCAGAAAAGTGAGTACTCGATGCCCATGCGGTCCAAAACAACGCACCTCGGAGCTCATCCTTGACACGCTGTAGTTCTTCCTCCATATTAGCCTTGTCAAGAAGCTCGTGCTCGAGTAATATTTTTTCCTCCAACGCCTTGGAATATCTCGACTCTATATCCGCCAGACTTGACGCGACCACACGTTCATTTCTCTCGAGGTCATCATTGCCCAACTCCAGGTCGCGCAACCTGACCTTCAATTTCTGAGACTCCTGCCTGAGCGTATCCAGCTCTCGTTGCAAGGAAGTGGTGGTTGTATTGTGGGTGGTCTGCAGCGTTATAAATTTGGACTTGTGAAGGGTTAATTAGTGAAGTGGTGTTGGAAAACGCGTGGTGAATACCTTCCATTCGTCTCGGTCTAATTCGGTCCTCGCGACCTTGACTTTGAGATCCTGCTGTGCCTTCTCTGTACGGTCTATTTCCTTGATTAACTCCTCCTCAAGTTCCTTGCTGGAAGTGTGAAATTCATCGAGTTCTGCCCGAGTCTCTGCCAGCATATCGGCGACCTCATTGTACTTTGATTTCCAGTCAGTGGACGAGTAACTAGTTGAAAAACATGGTTAGGACACCAAATTGAGTGTGGCAAGAAGGGTATGAGTACTTGAACTGGTTGTCTTCCATGGAGGCCATTATTGGGTCTCTGCGTAGCGCATCTGTAGGAGACAGAACAGCCGTCATGGACCCTGTTAAGAAATAAAGTACAACCTAGAAACACAACCAGAAAATATCAAAGGAGAAAAGAGAAATATTGGTGAAAACAGGAGAAATGCTTGCAACTTGGTCGTTCTTCTGATACTTGGTTGACATCCACAGCTATGCCACACATTGTTTACGTAATTCAATTCATGTCCACTGCAGATCTATTTTGCAATCCTCTGATCAAGAGAGCACTACATAGTCTCAGGTTTCGCGCACTTGCGCTTTTCTATTCGTCCAGTCTTAGGACACCTCATCTCTTGCCACGACACAGGTTCCATCGATGCGCCTAGAATATTAATTGGTTGATATTCGTACAAGAGGAAACAAAAACTCTTACCAGCTTCACTAGTTGCAAAGATAACACCGAGGTCATTGCGCGCAGTGGTGATGTAGTAACTGCGAGCATCGCCAAGAGAAATCTACAATGGTTGAGCAAACCATTCACCGTGTTCACTCGACTAGCTTACCACTATTCCCTTGACGACATCTCCTCCACGAAAACAGTCGCCTATCTTCACCTTGTCTTTCTCGGTAGCTCTGACATCTTGAGTGCGTATAACACCATTGAATTCTTCACCGGCAGGAAGAGGGACACCATCAACAACTGAAATGGATACCATCGCCTGCAAAGGGGACAAACGAGTGACGGTTCCTAGTACGACTGAATTTGCTGCTGGTGGATGTGATCGTACATGAGATATTGACAGGGTCTGCACACATTGAAAAGCCGGGCATGGTCATTCTGAGTAAACATCAAGAGAATAAACCAACAGATCCTTGATACTGTGCGACACCGACGAGGCTCGCTCTAACTTGTCCATCTTTCAAGTATAAACCGCCTCCAAGGTTGGGTGCTGGACCACGAGGAAGAGAGACCGATTGACCTGGGAGTAAGATGTCGGACGTCATGGGAAATCAAGGGAGCCGAAAGTGATTACTTATATCGTGGTACGACAGGGAAAAGTCGGGACACTAAGAATTATTCGCGTCGCTCGGATTTGTCGCTATTTGGCGCGACTACTATTCAAAAAATCTCAGCCCATTCTGACTTATACTTCCGTTCGCTCTTCAGGAATTGTGCATTTGCTCCCTCAGCAACAATGGCCTCCTCCTCTCTCGCTCGCGTCCTTTCACAGCGTATGCTTCTTACTTGTCCTTGATGCTCACAACTAATACCGTTCACAGAGATGCACATTTCTGCACGGAGACATGCACTGACAAAGTTCTCCATGCCTGCCATGAGTCCCACCATGACTGAGGGTGGTATCGCCTCCTGGAAAAAGGCGGAGGGTGAAGCATTCACTGCCGGTGACGTGCTGCTTGAGATTGTACGTTTAATTAACCTTACTCTTGCTTCGTTCCTAATGCCTGTTCACAGGAAACGGACAAGGCTACCATTGATGTGGAAGCTCAGGACGACGGTATTCTTGCCAAGATTATCGTATGTTAACTTCAATCTACACGCTTACATCCTCTCATACTGTCTTGCGCACATTTAGGCTCAGGATGGTTCGAAAAATGTCCCTGTCGGCCAACCCATTGCCATCATGGCTGAAGAAGGCGACGACCTGTCGGGTGCGGCTCAAATGGCTTCAGAGCCTTCGTCCGCACCTCCTTCCCCACCGAAGGAGGAAAGCACGCCTCAGCCTTCAAAAGCCGAGGAGGCCCCCAAGCCTGCTCCTTCTCAGGCTAAGCCTGAGCTTGCCAAGGGCGAACGGATATTCGCGTCCCCCATTGCGAAGAAGATCGCTTTGGAACGTGGCATCCCGTTGGCCCAAGTAAAGGGCACTGGTCCTGAGGGACGGATTATTCGAGATGACATTGAGAAGTACCAACCACCACCAGCAGCAGCTTCAGCAGTCGCTGCCACGTCTTCGGCGCCTGATGCTTCCCTTCCGGAATACACAGACACCCCAGTTACGAATATGCGCCGCGTCATCGGCTCACGTCTAACACAGTCCAAGCAAGAGCTACCCCATTACTACCTCACCGTCCAAATTAACATGGACAAGGTGATGAAGCTGCGGGAGGTCTTCAACAAGACGCTTGGCGATAAAGATAAAGCTGCTAAGCTGAGCGTCAATGACTTCATTCTGAAGGCTGTTGCATGTGCATTGAATGACGTGCCTGAGGCCAACTCAGCATGGCTAGGAGAGGTCATCCGACAGTATGTACTTCCGGAAATAAATAAATTAACTCACTCACTTTGCCTTTAGATATAAGAAAGCCGATATCTCAGTTGCTGTCGCAACTCCCACTGGCCTGATTACACCTATTGTGAAGGATGTCGGTTCAAAAGGATTGGCAACTATCTCTAGCGAAGCGAAAGCTCTTGCCAAAAAGGCTCGGGACGGCAAGCTGGCTCCTCAAGAATATCAGGTACGTGATATATCTTCATGCCGACTGTATGGAACTCATCGTTTCGATAGGGTGGCACGTTCACGGTGTCTAACCTTGGCATGTATGATATCGAACACTTCACTGCCATCATCAACCCTCCCCAATCGTGTATCCTTGCCGTTGGCACCACGAAGCCAACAATCGTCCCAGCACCTGAGGAGGAGCGTGGTTTCAAGACGGTGAACATGATGAAAGTGACGCTGAGCTCGGACCACCGGACAGTGGATGGGGCTGTGGGTGCTCGGTGGATGACTGCGTTCAAAGGTTACCTTGAGAATCCTCTCACTTTCATGCTCTAAAAGTACAGTGTTTTCGGGTCTTTGAGGTCTACTATTAAGTCTGTTTCTACTAGACTAGATTACATTTATCACATGCACGTCTTTTTTTGCTTTGTGTGATGAAAGAGTTTTGTACATTATGCGAAGCTTACGAAGTATTATGTACGCACCCCCTGAGGCCAGGTGGGCCTGATTTTTTGTTCGCGAGTCGCGACCTGCTAACAACTTCGCGTGTCCTTTTTTCTCCCCATAACTGCTCACCAGAAATTCTGAGATGGAGGACAAAGACAAGTTTGATAAATACCTCATCCAAACACTGGAGCAACTGGTCGGTGCGAAAACAGAAGCTACCGCCCTGAGCGAGAGAGTCGCCACACTACAAGATGCAGCGAACGAACACGACCGGTTGAGTGCATTGAAGGAAGAACAAAGTGATAAGGTACGTAGACGCGATCTCGTTGAATTTCCCCCCGTCTAACCACCCACAGCTTCGTGACAGAATTGCAAAACTTGAGATTGATAAAATGCAGATGCAGAACGCGGTATATCTAGTGCATTTTGATCTGATAGGCCATACTGATGTGTTGCCAGAATGCAGCCCTGCAACTTGCAGTGAAAGATCGCGATGCGTTACACGGATCATTAGAAATGTTCAGGGCGGATGCTTCCACGCAGCGGGAGAGGGTGATTCCGAAACTCACTCATCGACTCGATGCGGTCTAACACATGCCACGTTTCAGGCTAACGCACTGGGACAACTAGTTCGTGAGTTGGACGAAGAAAAAAAAGCTTTGACCCGTAAGCTTCAAGCTGCTGCACAGGTTGTGCGCGTGGATGTACGATTAACTAATATCAGGCTTGCCATGCTACCAGTAACTAACATTCTCCGTCCAGGTTGGCGTGAACACGGATCCTCTCCCGTCTCTTCGTAGCACGCCCAACAATGCCATTTTGCCAGTCGCACGAGGCCAGCCAACGGCTGGGCCATCTCGCGTCCACAACCTGAAGGAAGAAGGAAATACGAAGGCAGATACCTCTACAGGACATCATCCCTCTCAATTACCACCTACTCGGAAGAAAGCTATCGAAGAGGCACCTCAGATCATCCCTGACCTTGCCAATGGTGAAATTACAAATTTCACTCGACCTTTCCTCACAATGCACCTCGGTGGAGGGTCACAATCTCTCATTGTAAGGTAAGCTCTCGACTTGTGTGTTTAGTAGCATCAGCTTATGAACTCTTCAGCATAGCAATGCAAAAACCTCTGGCGGTCAAATTCGGTATAACAAGCTACCTTTGCCCAAATTTGTGGGAAAACCCTTGGTGTCCAACAAGCCCTGGCGAGGCCGGGTACATGTTCGTTGGCTTAGGGGAGGAGATTCATAGGTTTGTCAAGCCGGAGGTACACGAGCTTTTTGTCGGGCTTGCAAAAACTAAATACATACTTATGGGCCGGTATGAGGCCCATCGTGTTGAACCGTTGACCGTGGATGAATGGCTGACGCTCCCGGAGAAAGTAAGTTTACATAACTCCAAACATATCATCTCTTGATTTTGGCGCATTAGGTTCGATCCAAGTACTGCGAAACCACACAACGAAAATCGAAAGACTCACGTTCCGTAGAGGGCCTAAGCGCTGCTTATGAGGCCGGTGAACTACGCGCTCCCTGCGTCAAATTAACATGTCTTGATTTCAAGGAGGACCTCTACAAACAACTGAAGGCACAAAAAACGGGACAGCATAACGTGAGCTCCGCGTCATCCCGGCGTTCGTTTAAACAAGAATTTCCTGTCACGCGCTCGTCACAAAAACGCCGTCGCATTGAAGTCATTAACATTGACGAGTTCATGGACACTGACAGCGACCATTCCGTATAAGTACCAGGTCACACTTCCAAGATTGCTCACTTACATAATTCGGCGATTGTTCATCGGAACGTTCATCGACTGCTAATACCTACATACCAACTCTAGTCCACATCGTACAAGGCCTAATAACGCTGTATCATAGCTTCGATTCCATTTTCCCCTTGGCCGTATTTGTACAAACCGTTGAATCGCGAAAATCGGACAGACATCTTGAACAATGCCAGGTCGTCATCGCGAGTTTCCGCTCAAAAATCCAAGTTGAGATCACAGCGTTTCGTGATGAGCAACACTCACCGACCTCGTCAGGCAGGGCATATATCGCTCTGGGATTGGAGGGGTCAGCTAACAAACTTGGTGCAGGAGTCATCAAACATGATGTCGATGGATCTACAGAAGTGCTCTCGAACGTTAGGCACACTTACATCACACCTCCTGGCGAGGGATTTCTCCCCCGAGATACTGCCCAGCACCATCGAGAATGGGCTATAACGGTGATCAAAGATGCGGTTGCAAAAGCAAACATCACGATGCACGATTTGGACTGTATATGTTACACCAAAGGTTAGTCGGATCCCTCGTGAAGTCTCGTGGCTAAATGTTCCTCTAGGTCCTGGGATGGGTGCACCTTTGCAGTCTGTTGCTCTAGTTGCTCGCACTCTTTCGTTGTTATACGAGAAGCCCCTTGTCGGCGTGAATCATTGTGTCGGACGTAGGTATATCCATCAAAGGTATACAACCTCCACTGATTGTCGAAACAGATATCGAAATGGGACGGCAAGTCACTGGAGCTCAAAATCCAGTGGTACTATACGTATCTGGGGGCAACACCCAGGTTATCGCATATTCACGGCAATGCTACCGGATCTTTGGAGAAACTCTCGATATAGCTGTTGGAAATTGCCTTGACAGGTTTGCCAGAGTTATAAACTTGAGCAACGACCCAAGTCCAGGATATAATATTGAACAAGAAGCTAAGAAGTGATTAGTTGATTTCGGTTCTTGGTATTTTATCTGACCTGACGTGCACCCAGGGGAAAGCGACTCGTCCCATTACCTTACACAACCAAGGGGATGGATGTTAGCTTGTCTGGCATACTAACTTCGATTGAAGGCTACATATCTGATCGTCGGTACCGGTCTCAGGACATACCCTCAGAAGAGTCTGAAGATATTATCAGGCCTGCGGATCTATGTTTCTCCCTTCAAGAGACGGTGTTCTCCATGCTTGTTGAAATCACGGAACGAGCGATGGCTCATATCGGGAGCAAGGAGGTCCTCATCGTTGGAGGAGTTGGTTGTAAGATACTTGTTGTGTCCCGTCATCACCAACCTGATCCATCCACCCAAAGGTAATGAACGACTGCAAGAAATGATGGGCATCATGGCGCAAGAGCGAGGTGGAATGGTTTTTGCGACCGATGAGCGGTTAGTTTTTTGACATCCATGATGTGGTTTTCTTATTCACGAACTCGCAGTTTCTGCATTGATAATGGTATCATGATCGCTCAGGCTGGTCTACTGAGCTACCGTATGGGATTTCAGACGCCTCTTGCACAGAGCACCTGTACGCAAAGGTCGGTACCCCAATTCTAAGGATTGGTCTTGCAGAAAATAATTGTTTATATTCGAGATTCCGGACCGACGAAGTGCATGTCGCATGGCGACCTTGATTCTTTTGGTGACCCCCATCTATTCTACTATTTAAATCTCGTCAGCATTATCAAACATCACTGCGCAACATTCGCCAACACCAGCTTCCAGTCTTCATGCTCTCCTTTCATCTCTTGGCCGAGCTGCTCAAGCCTCTGCCACCACCACCTGTGACTCTTTGCGTACTCTCCTGTATCGTCTTCAGATACCTTGGCGTGCCAAGGCTTGTCAGCCAGAATGTAGTGAAGGCATCTGATTTCCTCGTCTCTCCACAGCGGTTTGTGAATCAGCATCAATGTCTTGAGCGCATTGTAACACCATGGAAGAGGTTTCCACGTTCCTTTAAATAAATCTGACAGGAGGTCTTGGTCGGGGAATGACCAAGTGGACACGAGAGGTGAGGTGTAAAGGTGGTTGCGGACGGTTTCTCCAAGAGTGAGAGAAGGATTGAGAACCACGAGGCCGGAGTTCAACTGACTGTGTGGACGTGGGCTTGCTTCTGTGACGTCCACTGGAGCAGTCAAGCCAGATGGGTGGACCAGTGGAGTATATGCGCAGTTCTCGGGGACCCTGGACGACTGAATGTTAGGTAATTATGATGGCAAATAGTCAAACGGCATACCAATCAGCAGGATAGTGGGGTAGCTTGCGTGGGTTACAAGCACACACATGCGCCGCAGCTATCCAGTTGTTTGGGAGATCGAGGTCAAATAACTCGTCCATATTACGCATCACGATCATATCGGCATCCATAAGGACAACACGCTATGTTCAAAGCAAATGTAAGTCATGAGCACTGCGCAATCTGAATCAAATACCTCATATTCTATCAGTTCGAATGCCCTTTATCTCGAAATGAGTTGTCTATCAGCTCCGTAGCTAGTTTGCACACACCTCAGCTTCGTCCATGTATCAGCAAATCTTGCGTCATGCGTTGAAAGTGAATGAATTCCCTCTGGAGGGTGCAGCGATTCGATCGACCTCATGGAAATGCCCCTTCGCTCGAGAACACTCCGAGCATCTTGGGGCAGCGTAGGAGTGACCATCACAACAAGAGGGAACGCAGAATCCACAGATCTAAGGGTATGATCGAGCACAAGAACGCCAGGTAGATAACTGGTTCTTGTGAGTAGTGTCACATACGCCACCCTTCGAGTCATCCTAGCTGATGCGCGATTGTGAGGGGAAGGAAGGGGAGCGATGATGCTAAGATGAAACAGCAGTAAATCGATTGATAATCTCTCAAAAAAGTACTACCGAAAAATCGGACAGTCGGATATTGATCGAAGTCGGAGGTTGCGGTCCTAATTAATTACAATAATTTGATAGTGCAATCTATATCGATCTGCACTAGGCGAACAGTGTTTTTCGCGCATATATCCAACTACCTTGTCGCTAAAACTTGAATTGTGGTGCGATCGGATGCGGGACCTCACAAGGGATCGGGGAGGATTCGGTATAACTCATGTAGAGGGATTCGTGTACATGCGCAATGGTAGAGAACTAAGAACACATGGTAAGAACAATATGGGGATTTAGCGCAAGCGGCTGTCATAAGAAGCTCAGTACAGTCCACGACGCATGAGATTTGAAACCTACCGAGCTTCGCGCTCACTCTCCAGAAGTGCAAGGATATCCTCCTCCCGCACAGGGCCCTTGACGTTGCGGATAATTGTCCGCGTAGTATCATCCATAAACTCAACACGGACTTGCGTGACTCCACCACGAGAGCCAGTGCGTCCGAGAACCTGATGCCAGAAGTTGGGATGAGTATGTTCGCGAGGGGTCAGCGCAAATATTAACCTTGATAACCTTAGCGAGTTTGACGGGAGCTTTTGATGAGTCCTGGTGAAAGTCAGTTGCACGAATGGCTTGAGACTATGTGGCTTGCTTACCATGTTTATTGGGGCTGTCAACAGCGATGGACGAACTTTTGGCGTGGATGATGGATGTTTAGAGTTTGAGATAGACAAGGTTTCAATCAAACTCCGATGGCATTCTCCGGGCTTTCCACTTACCCCTAATTACTAAAGCAGTCCTGAAATGCTTCTTGAAGTTCTTCTTCATGGATGCACATTTTACAAGCAGTTCCTGTCACTTATAACTTGTAGTCTGAACAACATGCAGGGTAATCCTTAGCCGCTGGCAAGGTTTATTGGCAACAGTCGAATCACATCCATTCAGAAAATGGCAGTAGAGGGAGGCCTCTCTAGCCTCTAATAGCTGACCCAAACATAAAAATTGGCAGTCGATATCTTTCTATAGATCCGCTCATGGATTACACAATAAAAGCAGTAAAATAATAAGACAGCATCGTGCAATACGATCATGTTTTCTCAGAGGATATGACTTGCAGATGCTTCCTGTGTAACGAGATTCTTCACCCTGTTCTCTGTGGCCTTCCCTTTCAAAATATTCTCTATAAAGTACTCGCCAGCCTAACAACCTTGTGTGAGAAGGGTTGTCCGAAGTAAAAGACACTGAAAGACTGACCTTGTAGCTACTGCGGACAAGAGGACCGCTGGCCACGTAGAGAAAACCCATATCGTCAGCTATTTGTTTCCATCGGTCAAACTCGGAAGGTTCCACATATCGGTCAACCTTCATGTGTCGCTTCGTGGGTCTCATATATTGTCCAAAGGTCACAACATCGACATTAATTTTGCGAAGTTCTGAGCTATGATTCAGTAATTATATTCTTGCGCGAATGTGCTTCAGCTTACCTCGCAAAGCATCCATTACCTGCTCTTCTGTCTCGCCGACACCAAGCATGATACTTGTCTTGGTTATGCGGACACCTTCCTTCTTCGCGTGTTCAAGCACCTTCAGACTCTGTCGGAAAGTTGCGCGGCGGTCGCGCACAACGGGAGTCAACTCTTCCACAGTCTCAACATTGTGTGCGTAAACGTCTAGGCCGGACTTGGCCACGAGAGAAACATTTTCCATGTTGCCCGCAAAATCTCCTGTTAATGCTTCTACAAGAATCTGAGGCGCCCTGTGTGGAATACCCAGTTCGTCAGCGGCATAAACGAAATGGGCGGGTGGCGCACTTTTGCTTAATCTTTATAATTGTCTCTGCGAAGTGATGTGCACCACCATCTACAAGGTCTGCAAAAGGAATTATCAGCCTACAATCTGGTTATGTTCATAGTCGGCGCACCGTCTCTGTCAACACTAGTGAGCACGATGTATCCGAGCCCCCATCGACTAATGGCCTCCGCTGTATTCTCAGGTTCGTGAGGATCCAATGGAGGTGGTGTACGAGAAGTCTTGACGGAGCAGAATCTACAGCCACGAGTGCAGGTGTCTCCCATTAACTTGAGGGGGTGAAATTAGTCAATAAACAGTAATTCCGACATTATATAGCATACCATGATCGTGGCTGTTGCTGCTCTTTTGCCCTCCTCAGCAGTTGCACCCTCTTTTCCACCCCAGCAATCGCCAATATTAGGGCATCGTGCCTCCTCACATACAGTATGAAGATTGAGTCCCCTTAAATCCTTCTTAATTTTGTTGAAAGACGCGCCCGAGGGTATCTTTGTCTTCAGAAAGCTGGGCAGCCGAGGTCTGAAGCGGCATGAACATTATTCCCAGAGAAATAAGACAATTTATGCGCACCCCTTGGTGTTTCCTAGCACTACATGTTCTATGGGTTCTCCTGAGATGAAGTCGTCTAATGATGGTCCGGAGACCAGCGTTTCACGGAAGCTGGACTTTGAGGTCGACGGCGTTGCCAGGTGCCGAACTTGACTTGAAAGTCGACAACTGGAACGGGGACGGAGAAGTGAGTTTACGAGGAGCGAGTGGGCCGACATCGTGATGAAGGACAGTTAGTCGGGAGAATGTCCACGAGTGTAAGCAAGCCTTAGCAAGGTACTTAGTAAAGACGGCGACCCCGTGGACAAAAAAGGTAATTCAGCGCCCACTTGGCCATTCGGACATTCGGAACCAAATCATTCTTCAAAAGTTGCCCGACATTGGATTTTCATGAACGCGCTTTCCCGAAGGGAGGAGGACACACTCCTCAAAACTACTAAATCGCGCGCTTTGGCGGAATGTGATCCAGTAGTCAAGGGTGCGGCCGTGTATTCTGGCATGATCAAGAGTACTAATATCTAAATTGTACTGCTTAGAATTTGCCGACTGCGCAACCGGACGCACACTTTCTGTTGCATGGGCTTGTAGGGGCAAGTACAAGGCTTTGCAGGAATGTATGCTGCAATAGTGAGTCCCCCCGCCGCACTCTGTCCAGCATATCGAGTGAATGTGTTTTAGCACAAGCCAAGCAGCAATGGATGATGTCCGAAAAGAATATCTTCGTTTAAGAGATCAAGAGAAAGCGTCTCAACCACTTCCATGATGATGGCGGGATAGCTTGATTCTATCCTTTACATGCAAAGCAGCCGTCAAGGTGAATTACACATTGATCACGGTATCCAGAGTCATATCTGAATCGAGTGCATAATACGCTCGAATGCGTGGTACAACTTAGGACTCAAAGGCAGATGCCAGAGATTAGACAAAAGTACGCGGGCCCTGGGGCAATAAACATCAAATACAGGTAGAAGTATAGACAGGATTTTATATAGGGAATCTCAGTTTTTCTTTCCATTGTTGATGGCAATCCATTGAGCACGAAGACCCATGAGAGAGGAAATGAAACTGAACATAGTGATCTGTCAGCCAAGCACAATAAAAGAACCACTGCCAAACTGACCCAGCAAAGCCAACAATGCCGTCGTTGACGTTGACAAGACCCAAGTTGGAAGCGGGTATCCAGATATCGAAAAGGTCGATGATGAACTGGTAGCGGGTGTCCGCGCGCAGGCTATGGGGACATTTAAGAGTCATTTATTAAATAGTACTCGATGATTTCAACGTACTTTTCAAGTGCAAGTTGCCTGACTTCTCTTTGAGCTTCATCGCCAAGGTCCTTTTCTCCCCAGGTCTCGGAGTTACGCAGTTTCTTTGCGTCGTGAGCAAGTCGTCCAGCCTGGAAAATTGAAATTCACTATCCCAGCTAAGCGATAAGTCTCACCTTCAGCAGTCCATGTGTGATGCTAAACAAGATTCCAGCCAACCATAATCTGTTGGACGTCTTGGTGACCTTCTCAGCAGTGCTGGGCTTCAGGACAATGAACTTGGCGGAGTTCGCCTGTCAAACCATTTGAGAAGTTGTAAAACCGTCCAGTGATCAATTATGACTTGCCCACACAACTCCGTCATACGTGAGGTACCCGAAGTAGGCAAGCTGCCGACCGATGCTAGTCAATTGTTCGCCAACTTCACCCGTATATTGAGCTGCACGCAATGCGGCTTGAAGGTGCTCGACGGGTTTCCCAAGTCTCATAACTATACAAATGTCAGGTGTGGTCATGTGGCCACGGACACTGGCAAGCCTTACGTTTACGGCCAAGTCCTAGGTGGCTCTTGAGAGCTGTCCATCGAGCAGCTTCGACCTTGTTGCCTCGAGAGAGGAGGAACCAGGCGAGGAACCGAGAGAAATACTGGACCGTGCGGTAGAGCTAAAGCGCGCCGATGAGTACTCCGTTCCTCAACCCGATGGAATCATACCTTATCCCGGCCGACATTGAATGATCCAAATTTCAAGGACTGAGAAACATAAGGGTGGAGAATGACCTGGGATGCAATTGTAGCCATGTCTGAGAAATACAAATAACAGACTCGTGCAAGAAGAGGGAGATTGAATTGATGCGGCGAATGCTACTCGAAGACTTTAGGTGAGAGAACCCTGGCGTAATTACCTTGCGATTATCACGTGGATTTGCTACTTTCGAAGTACCCGATCACCGGTGACGACGTTGAGGTACAACCTCATGCATATGATTTCAGACTTCACAAGAGCAAGACACGACAACCGGGGAGCCATGACATCTTCCTTTGGGGACGTTGAAGGTGTGTATAAGCCGTTTTTTGAGCGGCTAGATCTCGTTTGACAGTGTTGGCAGGTGCGGCGATCGGTTTTATCGGAACGTGGTAAAGCAAAGAAATATGGACCGACAATCACGCTGGAACGATGAAAGCGGCGTCACGACTCACGATGTCTAGCCGTGGACTTTGAAGCTTGAAGCTTGAAGGCTCCTTCTCAAGGTATGGCCCCCGTTGAAGTTCGGTGCACATTGCACTGTCAGTGGGTTCACGACCGGGTGATTTCGGACGGCAAAAGCCGCCGCGCGTAGCATTTGCACTGAAGAAGTTGTGGATATAACCTTCTGCCCTCCACTCGCTGTACTCAGTTTCGTTGCTGAAAGAGACTGCCTAATCATGGCCACGGCTATTCGGCCTCCCCGCCGAGTGAGTTATGCCCTTTATTCCTCACGTGACACTCCACTCATTCTGTCATGCTTACTTATAGCTCCTCCATGTGATTCCTCGTCAACGACTGTTCTCATCATCCGTCATGGTAAGTCAGGTTATCTAGCAGAGGCGGAAGAAACCTATGATCGCGTCAGTCAAATCAGGCATTCCGCAGTGAGCGTGACACGTTCGGCGAGCTCCAGGTCCCTGCCGATCGCTATTGGGGTGCGCAGACACAGCGGTATGTATCAGGTCTGAGATGCGTGTACTACTGAGCATTTTCCATAGGTCACTACAGAACTTCGACATTGGTGGCCCCTCGCAACGACTACCGCCTCCTCTGATCAAGGCCTTCGGTGTGCTGAAGAAGGCTGCATCCATCGTCAATGTCAGCTATGGCATGGACCCGAAGGTTGGCGAAGCCATCCAGAAAGCTGCTGATGATGTGAGAAACCGTGTTCTAGGCCTCGTGTGTGTGCTTTCAACTGATCTTTACTCCAGGTCATTTCTGGGAAGCTCATCGACCACTTCCCCTTGGTTGTCTTCCAAACTGGAAGTGGAACTCAAAGCAATATGAACGTAAACGAGGTGGGCATAATAAACGGTTGAATAATCAGTGGTTTCACTCAATGTGGTCAACAGGTGATATCGAATCGTGCGATTGAACTTCTTGGTGGTGAACTTGGGTCAAAGAAACCAGTCCACCCGAATGACCATGTTAACATGAGCCAAAGTAGTAATGACACGTAAGATGCTGCGCGGATTGTGCTTGATTGCATGGATTTACCAGTAGCTGTAGCTTCCCGACAGCTATGCACGTCGCCGCTGTGACTGAAATTAATCATTCACTGCTTCCGGCGCTGACGGAACTCAGGGATGCGCTCAACGAGAAGGCTGAACGTTTCAGTGGCATTATCAAAATCGGACGCACGCACTTGCAGGTATGAATAGGTTGGCCTTCTATGTGGATATTATCTGACTGCTATTAGGATGCCACACCTCTGACGCTTGGCCAAGAGTTTAGCGGATATGTCCAGCAAATCCATAATGGCATTGCTCGTGTCCAAAATGTTATTCCTCGCTTGAGCCTTCTTGCTCAAGGCGGAACTGCTGTTGGCACAGTGAGCCCGTTAATATCTAGTGAAGGGGTAGAGATGCTCACGTGTCATGCAGGGTCTGAACACCAAGAAGGGCTTTGACGTCAAAATCGCAGCCGAGATCTCGACCATTACAGGCTTGAAGTTCCAGACCGCGCCCAACAAGGTAAGGCACTGCACGGCGATTGTTTCGTCTGACTGCTGACGACGATCCGCAGTTCGAAGCTCTAGCCAGCCACGATGCCCTGGTTGAGGCTCACGGCGCTCTGAACGTCATCGCGTGTTCCCTGATGAAGATCGCCAATGACATCCGGTTCCTTGGTTCTGGCCCTCGATGTGGCTTCGGTGAACTTAGCCTCCCCGAGAATGAGCCTGGCAGCAGTATCATGCCTGGAAAAGTCAATCCCACACAGTGCGAGGCTGTGACAATGGTCGCCGCTCAAGTTATGGGTAACCAGACCGCTGTTAGCATTGCTGGAGCCAGCGGACAGTTTGAGGTATTCAAAAAAATTTCATATACGGCACGTTTATCATTCATTGAATCTATTATTCTCCCGAATTAGCTCAACGTCTTCAAACCGGTCATTATCATGAACGTGCTGCAGAGCATCCGCCTTCTTTCTGATGGTGAGCTTGCATAATTCAAATGACTCGTGCCGACCCGCTTATCATGTCTGATCAGCCTCGCGCTCGTTCACGAAGCATTGCGTGGTTGGTATTGAGGCCAATGAGAAGCGTATCAACCACCTCTTGAACGAGAGTTTGATGTTGGCAACGATTTTGAACAGCCACCTTGGCTATGATAGTGCGTGCTAAATATAATTTCGTATAACTCCGGGTAGAAGTTGATCGCACTTTGCAGACGTGGCCAAGTGCGCAAAGAAAGCGCACAAGGAAGGTTCGACGCTGAAGGAGGCAACTGTTGCACTCGGATTCCTGACACCCGAAGAGTTTGACGATAAAGTGCGCCCGGAGCTGATGTTATACCCAGATGACATATAGTCGCATTCCATGACTACCCCGATTTATATACCTGGGATGGTTTTGCTTCGCAGTAGATCTGATTCATATTTAAAAGTAATTTGCCTCTGCTTCCACCTCTGCCTCCCACAATGGCGCAGTTGGTAAGAAACTCATATCTGAGACTAGGTCAATCGATGTTCGATACTGCGGTTTGTTTGGTGGTGTGAAGATCTGATAGATATGTAGGGGGTGTTATAGAGAGAAGCTCGTCCGCCAAGAACAGCAAGGAAGGAACAGCGAATACGAAAAAGGCAAGAATGCTAAATCCAACCGCAAACGAAATATACCACGTCAAATCAGTACAACTTCCCGTCACAGCACTCCCTTGTCTCTCCTCGTAATCTGCACAGCAACCGTCTTCCTCGTCATCCACAGCGAGCTCACACTTTTCTACCCGAAAATTCATCTTTTGTGTTCGTCACCGTCACCATCGACCACAACACCTCTTTATTAACTTCTTCAGAAATATTCAGGCTATTAGGTTGACTTGACACAGTGTCCTTCTCTTTACATCTCCTGGTCCCACGAGGCGACCTGTCTTTACAAAACTCAAGCCGGCTACTGCCTCATCATTTCTTCCTCTCTTTGCATCTTACTTGTCACCACTTTGGTTCTCTATGTCACTTAGCCGAATTCTCAACGACGATCCACCCCCGGCGAGAAATTCTGCCTCCTCACGTGGTGGTGGCATCGATCCTTCATTAGCAGACGTGTCCCCTCTCTCCCGAACCACAGTCATGTCTCCTCATCCCCAAACTCTTCGTCGGAGTCTAACTCCTCTCGGAGAGCAGCCACCGCTTCCTCGTGGATACTCTTACCAGACGCCCTCTTATCAGGGTGCCGGAGGTTGGGATCCATACTCGGGTGACTATGTTCAGGGAGAGATCTTTCCTCTCGGCCCAGGAGGTAACTATTATTCTCAGCGTGAACGGGAAGGACAGCACCATCCGCCACCTCCAGAACCGCGCGCATCCTCCGTGGGCGCTTACTACAAGGAAGGCGAAAACGAACCCACCCCACGAAAACGCAGAAAGGCTGTACATCCAGACGATGACCCCGATTACCAACCTCCGACCGTAAAGCGCGTAAGTCTTGTCATGTAGTTCATAGAGCTCAAATCGGTTTTACTCACCTTCCTATGTCCATTCACTAGCCACCTCGTCGAAATCCTCCTCGCGCAAAGGCAAATCGGCCTGAGTCGCCCCTTGTGGAGGGAGCAGATCCTGCACCAGCCGCACGGGAGTACCATCAAACTGAAGAAGAACGACGTCTCACATCTTCTGACCTCTCGGACTGTGAAGAAGTATGGATTGGTGACCTCAGCGACTATATTATAGAGACACATTTGCGCCAGCGTAAAGTAGAATCGTGGTTTGATGCCAGTATTTTGGTTAGTTCCACGTTTATGGCCCTCCCCGTCGCATGATTCATATTTCATTATAGGAACGCAACTCCAGCACGGCGCTGGCACTGTCTCGCCACTACGTGTCTCGCATTGCACGGATGCCCCTTCCACCTCCAACGCCCCCGCCGATCCCCCCTTCTGTTGAGGAGGAGCTTTTGTCCACCATTCATGCTTCCCCACCTCCCGATGCGTATGATTATGGAGCTCCAGATAACTATGAACCTGGTTCGGCCAGATTTGGTGCAGAAGACGCGGCTCGGATGGTTGAGGAGTCCTACCTAGGTCGCAATCAGAAACGAAAGGATTCACTCAAGCGTTCTGCAGATGGAGCAGTTTCAGACGAGAGCAGTGACCTTGAAATTCCTGTTTCATCCAGAAACAAACCTGCAGCGAAGAAACGAAAGGTCGACAAGGACTCTGCTTCAATCGCTGATGAGTTCGAACGGTCTATTGGTGGGGTCAGCCCTTCCAAATTTGCTTCATCAAAGGCGAAAGGGAAGGGCAAACAGAGCCAGTTGCGGGAAGCGAGCATGGACAGTGTTGTACCGAGTGCAACACCCAAAGGTCGCAAGAGGGGTGGCGGAAAGAAGATTTTGCCACCTGATACTCTGGAGGGCCTTGGCATTGGCTCAGCTGCAGCATCGGTCGCTGGAGACGTTACGCCTTCGGCATCTAGGCCTGTATCGCCTGCGCTCACTGCAACTTCTGTCGTGTACGAATTAGACGAAATCGTTCCTCCTCTCAAGCGCGCTAAAAAGGTTGATGAAAATGCTATGGCCAAACGCCTGAAGAATTTGGAGGAGGCTCAGAAGAAAGTTTGGACAAACATTGCTCGGAGAGACGTTGCTAAGGTATGCACAGATCTTTCATTACGTGGTGTTTGCGTTCTCATGTTGTTGCACAGGTGTATAAGTATGCAGCGATGGGCTACCAAGCCCGTCAAGGTCAGCTCAAACGCTTGGCCACACTATCATCCATTCAAGCACGTCGGCCTTTCACAAGGACTGCAAAAGCTCAAAAAGATGTACAAGCAAAGGGCAAACGCTTGATGCGTGAGATGCTAGTCTTCTGGAAGAAGAATGAGCGGGAAGAGAGAGATGTCCGAAAACGCGAGCAGAAGGAGGCTATTG